TTTGTTCTGATCTTTTTAAAAATTTTATTAATCAACAAGTAACGTGTGACATTGAAAGTAACTCATTTATTAAACATACAGATTTTAATGTATGGATGGGCAATTCAACTAAAAGTAATAACTTTTCTATTGCTTACTGCCATCCATCTTACTGTAACTTTGGGTCTCAGCTTAATTTGATACATCTTAATTCATCTGGTTCATATCTTGGTTCAACCAACTCAACAATATCTCTACCACTGTGTTATGGCTCTAGAACTGGAGATGCATGCGGTGAATGTATTTCTAATTACAGTGTAGTGTTTGGTTCTACTGAGTGCAAGGACTGCTCAAGTAGTTTTTGGCCATTCACAATTATTCTTTATTTAATAGCTGGTCCTCTTCTTGTTTTGCTTTTATATACCCTCAAACTAACTCTGACAACTGGTACACTCAATGGTATTATATTCTATGCTCAAATTGCTAACATTGGCATCATTCATTACTTAAATGTACCATGCAATGAGTGTGATAAGAAAATAAGGTATCCCGTTAGGTTTGTAAGTGTATTCATTTCATGGCTAAACCTAAACCTTGGTTTTCCACTTTGTTTTTTTAATGGAATGACTGAGATATTGAAAGCTGGACTAAGCTTACTATTTCCTGTTTACCTGATCCTTATTGTTGGCCTCCTTATTATACTGAGCCGCTATTCAGTTACAGTATCAAATCGTTTCTCTCGTTCATCAATTCAAGTTCTGGTCACTGTTGTTCATCTTTCGTTCACAAAACTTCTTCAGTCGGTTCTTGATGTCTTCAGTTCAGCAAAAATTTACACAGAAGGTGTTGATGTACCCAACACAATATGGTATAACAATGGAGCTATAATGTACAATAGTAAGAGTCATGTATGGTTAATGGTAATGACATCAATTGTAGCTGGGTTAATTTTGGTACCTTATTTTATCATAATATTGCTTGGGAAATTTCTGTTAAAATTTGACAGATTTAGGGAATGTATTCGTCCATTTTATGAAGCGATTCATGCTCCTTATAGAAGAAACAAGTGGTATTGGTTTGCACTACATCAACTCTTTGTTCTACTTACTTATGTGTCTGAAACTTTGAGTTCCAATCAACAACGTAGAGCACTTTTCCTTTCTCTCATTCTTATTTATCATCTTTTGCTTTATCTTCAAACGAAATCAATACCTTTTAGATACAAAACACTCAATTGGCTGAGTCTAATGCTACTCCTTGCTCTTAATATTGTATTTTTGGTTTCACAATATATTTACTTGAGTAATGGTTCTCCAAAGCAACTTGTGATGTTCTTTGCTATTGCAAATTATCCTATTATTGCAGTATTCATCCTGATCATTGCTTATCACATCTTATTAGTGACAAATAATGTCAATCGAGTGTTGCTGTTGTATCAAAAAGTTTATCAGTTAAAGGAGCATTTTCCTGGTTTTAAAGAGACGAGACAGTATAATCAAAGAAGACGTCCATATTATGGGTGCAGTGATTCAGGGGATTATACTGAGGCCAGGGAACCACTCCTTGAACAAACTTTAATTAACTAATGCTTGATCCCATTTTTAACATGCTGCAGTAGTAATTTTAGCTCCTTTTTTGTAAAAAAAATTAAAAATTATTATTGTGAAGTACCCACGTGTCACCACGTGGCTAGTTGATAAAAGTAGTTTAGCCACACCTAAAACACACCCTCTTATTAAAATGGCGACTGATCAAAAGGCTGAAGTCAAAGGTGAAGTAGGTCAGGCTCTTTTTGAATTCCTTCACATGGAAATGGTGTCTTACTTAGTCAGTTCTAAAGAAAAGGAGGACCAGGTAACACATACAATAACCAAACTAACTTGATGAAATGAATTACTTTTAAAAATTATTCTTTTATAAAAAGGGAGAGCTCATTTCAAAACTTGAGGCTCTTGGCTATGGAGTAGGTGCTAGGATGATGGAGAGGTCCTGTAGGGACGTCCCTCGTTTTAGGACAGAGCTCGACGCCATGGTATTCCTCTGCAAGCAGTTCTGGGTTCACTTGTTCAATAAACAAATTGACCACTTAAAAACAAACAACCAAGTATATAATAATAATAATAATAATAATAATGATGAGTTCTTTATGTATTAGGATGTCTTTGTACTTTACGATAATAATTTTCGTTTGTTGACTCACTTAACTGATTCGTCTCAATACAGTGATGAACTATCCAGAGTTAGTTAAACTGATATTTATTAATTTACATATATAAATCTCTACACTACATAGTGTACACTAGTACGTAATGTATTACTTTATTCACAATTCTTTCTTGTAGTATGTTGCTTTCACTTCTGGGATTTTAACTGGAGCTCTTTCTAACTTGGGAATAAGGAGCCACATCAGTTATGAAATAACAAAGCCACCTCAATGTATGATATGCATTGATATCAGTAGTATTTCAGTAGTATATTGTTGCTGTTTCTCTTCAATAGGTGTTTTTCAAGTCAAGGTTTTACTTTGAGTGGGTGTGGGAGTTAATTTTCAAAATTTTGTACTGTTTTATTATTAAATTTTTAATTAAAAATATTGTACATTTGATCAATGGAGGGTGTCATTGAGCTTTTAAGAGCCAAGTCTAAGGACGGGGCTGGAAAGAGCAAGTGGATCCCGTCCACTCAAGACAGAAAGTAAGTCTTGAATAGGAAATGAAGATCTCAGAATTGTACATGTACCTGATCTATGATACTATTTTGTCACCTGGTATATATACATGTATTTATGTTGAGAGACGTAGCTCAGTGTGTTATGATGTGTATAAAGTATTAATATATTCTGTGTGTAGGTTGTTACAGGCTGAAGGGACAGATGTGTGGGAATTCATTTTTGATATGCTTCAAGCAAAAAGGTAACCTTTTTAATTAATGCTAAATGTCACCATAATTGACAAAAGGTACCTTATGGCGGATTTTTAAACTCATCATTAAAATGAACAATATCAACCTGTGAGTGCGCTTTTTGACAACCATTGTTTCTAAAAGTTAGACAGAAACTTTTTGCATCCTCTGGAGTAATTTCATGGTAAATGGAACTCAGAAAGTTGCATTTTAAGGCTATAAAGACCAATTTTCCTATCCGCCATAAGGTACCTTTTGTCAATTATAGTCACATTAATTTAGAATTATTGACACTAGTAGGTGCTGGGCATGTCTAAACAATTTTTGAACATTTTATTATTTTTTTTATTTTGCAGGGTTTCTGAAGACAGTGTCTCAGAGAGAAAGGCCCAAGTTTCGTCGGAAATAGAATCGTTAAGAAATGCTGTGGCACTACTTCAATCTGACTTGAAGCAGTTTCAAGAAACAGCATCAAAACTAGGTCAGTTGGCAATAGACTACTACAATATATTTTAATATTATCAAATTTTTTTATTTTTATTTTTAAAGTTGATAAAACTGATAGTATAGAACAGGAGAAAAGGCTCCTATTGCAGAGGAGGGAGCTGCTGAGAGTTCACACTGAACAAGTACTTGAAAACTCTAGAGCTGTTGTTGATTATGCTAGACGTATGGAAGAGAAATGCAAATATTTTAGGTAATAATAATAACAATGATAATAGTAATGTAATTTTTTATTGTTACTTTTTACAGTTCTAAGGGTAAGAAAGGTGCTCATCAAGCTGCTGCTACTGATTCTATTTATATGGTTGGTAAAAATTATTAAATTAGTTAAATTAATAGTAAATTATTAAATTATTATAAATTATTATTATTATATTATTTTTATTACAGAAGAAGTTAAGGTCTGTCTTTAGTAAAGTGATTTCATTACTAGAAATGTCTTCAAATGCATCACCAAGGTTTATTAATACTCTCTCCTTTATATTTTATTTTAAAATTATTATTATTAAATCGTGTAGTGTTGAGGATTTTAAAAGAGCTAAAGTCAGCACAATGACAAGTATTGAAGTAAGAGATAGTAGTACTGTAATTCTACTGTTATTAAATATATTCTTTGCTGTAGTCTCTTTTGCTTGAAGTTCCAGTAGAAGGTATAGTTAATGAGATATCTCAACTGGCAGTAAATGCTACACAGAGCATTGTGAAATTGGCTAGTGATGTTCATTCGATAAATGATATTCATAATCTGAAGTAATTTTAATTTTAATGATAATGATATTATGCATCAAATGTGACCCAAGTACATGTGATATACATAATATATTGTATTAATGTACAGGTTTACAGTCAAAGATGGTATTCTTGAGGACGTTAACGGTGACTCATCTGTTTTACAGTCAGTAGAAGAACACATATCAGTGAGTTCACATATTGCACTATTTATGGTACATACATGTATATGTATATGCATGGCTATAGCACCTGCAATTAAAAGCAAGGGCTATATAACCCATGGTTTTTCCAAAAAATGGCTCTAAAATCACCCCAAATTTTTGTTACATTTTCTGATCTATATTGATGTTCTTATGCTATGTAGAAAGTTTGAGCTGATTTTGACAAATATTTTTCGAGTTATGAGCATTCTTAAAAATGAGCCAATTTTTGAAAAATACCCAAGGCTATAGCCCATGGTTTTTTCCAAAAAAATGGCTCAAAAATCATCCCAAATTTTTATTACATTTTCTGATCTATATTGATGTTCTTATGCTATGTAGAAAGTTTGAGTTGATTCCGACAAATTTTTTTTGAGTTATGAGCATTTTTAAAAACGAGCCAATTTTTGAAAAATAGCCAAGGCTATAGCCCATGGTTTTTTCCAAAAAATGGCTCAAAAATCACCCCAAATTTTTATTACATTTTCTGATGTATATCGATGTCCTTATGCTATGTAGAAAGTTTGAGCCGATTCCGACTTCAATTTTTCAAGTTATGGCCATTTTAAAAAATGCCAAAATTTTGAAAAATACCCAAGGCTATAGCCCATGGTTTTTTCCAAAAAATGGCTCAAAAATCACCCCAAATTTTTATTACATTTTCTGATGTATATCGATGTCCTTATGCTATGTAGAAAGTTTGAGCCGATTCCGACTTCAATTTTTCAAGTTATGGCCATTTTTAAAAATGCCAAAATTTTGAAAAATACCCAAGGCTATAGCCCATGGGTTTTTTCCAAAAAATGGCTCAAAAATCACCCCAAATTTTTATTACATTTTCTGATGTATATCGATGTCCTTATGCTATGTAGAAAGTTTGAGCTGATTCCGACAACAAATTCTGGAGTTATTAGATGTTATTTATTATTGTTATTAGTTATTAAAGTCATTCCTCTACTATCTACAGGAAGTTGAGTTACAGTACATTTCAATATCTCAAAGTTGCCTTGGATTCAGAAAGGAAGCCAACGAGGAGTCCCTCAAATACGAGTCCCTCCTAACAGAATGTGCTCAACTAATCAACGAACGAAACACTGACGACTCAAAGAGACCCCTCATAGATCAGTGTCTCTGTTTAGAGATTGACATTGCTGTCTATGAGTCATCAATAGAGACGATAACTTCAGTAACACAAGATCTTCTTGAGGCACAGTCTCAAAATGAAACTAATGCCACTCTATTGAAAAGCAAAGCTGATAGACTAGTAGAAAACGATATGCTAGTTGTAAGTTATAATATTGAGTTCTTCTTTAGTAGTATATCTTAATTTTTAGGCTTCAAAAGAGGACACTATTAGAAGAATTGTTTCACAGAACTCTGCAGCCAAGACTGGCACTCAGAAGCAAAAGGCTGAGGTACTCACAGCTATCATAATGGATCTATCCTTATAGTTTTATGAACAATTATAGCACAGAGAATACATAGTGAAGAAAGTTTGCTCTAGTAGAAATGATATTGAGGGAGTCCTGTCTTTCCTTATGGCAGGAGATGGAAGAGTCACAGAGAAAATTCCTTTGTCATTATTATCAAAAACATTTAGGTAAAACCTGTACATGTACATGTACACATACATAAAATTTAATATTGAGAGGTCATTTTGTGACATAGTATTATTACCAGTATTAACATACTGTAGCCTGTATTGTGTCATAGTTTTATTTGTCAGTAAAGTATGGATGGCTAATGCATTCATTTCTTTTGTGTAGGACTTGTGATTGGAAGGTAGGACAGTTCCTGTCTCCTAATATTGTGAGAGACTTGATGGTACATTCATATCAAATACCTTACCACGAGTTTATATGGAGAGTGTTCCTTTTCCTAACAAAAAGTATGTTAGACATTATGAATTTATTATAGTGTTTTAATGCGAATAAGTATTAATTATTTGCTTGTATAATCATCATGTAGTGAAAGAGCAGCAAGAGTTTGAACATACTGAATGTACTCATGATGAACACAATTCAGATGGTTAGTAAAACAATATTCATTTAATAAATATATTAACTATCATTTTCTATTAGATACTGTGCTGGCTTTATCACAGGAGTGCTATGAAAAGCAGGCCAAGCTGGTAACAAAGTTATCTGGAAGTCTTTCAACAGTATCTAAATCTCTTGCCTGTGTACCTGAAACAGAACGTATTCTTAAAGAAATGTCAGTAATAAAATAATAATATAAATATTTTTCTTGAATATTCATGTTTTGTGTAATGATTGTCATATAATAGGTGGACTCAGCCAGCTCAGGACATTATCAGCTGGGCTACTGTTGAAGGAATGACCATGAAGGAGTGGCTAGGCCAATGGAACCTTCTTATGCAGAGACACAATCAACTAATGAATCATCCTTAGCAGTGATTTTAACCAAGTAGTAAAAAATACATTATTATCCATATTCACACTTATAATGATTGGTAATTTTGGAGGATAGGGTCTGTGACAAATTTTTGTCATTTTTCAACTTTTTATACACACTTTACATACTTGGCACTGAATTTGTGTGCTATTTAGTGTCTATCTACTCTACCAATAAGGCATGTATCAGCATTAGCTGATGATGAGCTGTTCTTTCTGTCACAACTTTGTACATAGTGTTAGTGATTCTAGAAGGCTACCTCAGCACTTTTCACAAGAAAATGTCCCTCTTTCTTCTCTTTTTTTTTTCTTTCCTATCTTCTTCATTGGAGGCCTGCAGCAATGATGGTATGAATATAATAACAGTTAGTGACACTGGTAATGACACTGATTGTACTGCTACTCACGACTGTGCCTCACTCCAGTATGTATTAACCAGCACTTTGGTGAAAGATTGTACAAAAATAATACTTTATGATAATCAGACTATTAGCACAAATATCATCATTAATGATATTACTAGCTTCATAATTGAAGGTGGGACAACAGCAGAGCTAGCACAGATAACAGTGAGAGATTGTGGAAGTCTCAAATTTGAAAAGTGCATTAATGTGAACTTGGAATGGCTAAATTTTGTAAGTGATGAGGAAACGGACTCCAGTCTATTAATACTGCCTGTGCTACACTTTGATCAGTGCTCTAACATAAGTTTAAGTGACAGTGAGTATGGACTATCCACTAACATCCTAATGACTGATAATAGTGGAACTATCAACATTGCTCATGTCAGCTTTTTTCATCATGAGAGCAATGCTACATCAACTCTTTTAAAAGTTATGCTAAGTCAAAGATTTGTTTCTGGCAGTGTCTATGCAATCAGTGACTCTACTTTTACCGGGGTATCGAATTCTCCTTCTAATTTCTTCCGTTTTGATGAACAGATTAATAATTTGACGGACACAGGTGGGGGTTTGTCAATTGAAGTGAAAGAGGACATAACAAATATCAAAGTCCTTGTTAGTAACTCAGAGTTTATAAGTAACACTGCTGTCATTGGTGGTGGGCTGTTCATTAAGATGCATAGCTCCTCAAAAGGAGCAGGGATAGTTTTGAGTAATCTTAGCTTCATTGATAACAAAGCAATGGATTTAGGTGGTGGTTTATACATAGCTGTTACCGATAATAACTATTTGCCGGAGATACTAGTCTTCAATATTAGCATCCTGTCATGTTCTTTTATTCACAACGAAGCAGAGCACGGTGGAGGGATTGCATATCAAACCATTGGAAACAAGAACATTAATGCATCCTTGGGTTTCACTCTTATCAAAGACACAGTCTTTAAGCAGAACTCTGCCTTATTCTCTGGTGGTGCTGCAGGATTCTTCAGATGGGAAGCAGGACTAGGAGGCGATGCACCACTTGTGAACATTAAGGACTGTACATTCACTGATAATTTTATGATAAAACCTGGACAAGATGTTGAATCGACTGTTGTAGGAAGTGGAGTGCTGTACACTCAAAAGACGCCCATTGCTTTTAGAGGGCATACGCTAATGAAGAATAATTTTGGAACCGCCATACTTGCCAGCAGTGTCTTATTTCAAATGTTCGAACAAGTTGATATAATAAACAATGTTGGAGCTAGAGGAGGTGCTATTAATCTGATTGGTGGTGCTAGAATAATTGTTGGAAAAAGTCTTAATTTAACTTTCAAAGACAATTATGCCGAACTTTTTGGAGGTGTGGTTTATCACATTTTTCCTGTCTTTGGCGTCATCGATCAAAACCAATACTGCACTTTCCAGTATGAGGACACTGCAATACTTGATCCCTCAGAATGGAATGCAAGGATTTCATTCATCAATAACACTGCGTTGGAATCAGGCAATTCAGTGTACATTAGTAGCCCTGATAGCTGTTACCAAAATAAAGAAGGACTCATATTTACTGAAACAGATACGTTTCGTTTTTATCCCAGCTACACAAATCAGATTACAACTCCTCCGGTTAGCATAAAATTTTCTTTCTCAACTTCTGGTGAGTGTAATGGCCATCCCTGCTCCATTAACCTTATGCTGGGCGAACAGGCTACATTAACTCCTCATTCAGTTGATGGGTTTGGTCAGACTGTCAAATCCTTTGCTCTTATTGACCTCTTTTGTGTTGATGGTGATGTTTTGTATCGTAATAAGTCATGCCAGTATGAGCTAAGTGGTACTAATCTAGTTGAGCTTAATAATGCACAAATTAGAGTCCCTTTCTTTATTAAAGGAGCTCGGAATAATAAGGGGAATGTAGTGCTAGCATGGCAGACCATCCAACAGCCTTCAGCAATGGCGTATTTATATGTTAATATCATTGATTGCTACCTTGGCTATGTCTATGATAGTGCATCTGGTGTCTGTGCTTGCTACAACAAGTCAGAGGTGGTATTTTGTAACTCAACAAGCTACATTGCTTGTGTGAATATTGGTTACTGGTATGGGAAAATTAACAAAAATGGGAGTGATACTCAGTTTGCTGCTACTAGCTGCTCCTTTGGGTCTTGCAACTATACAGTGAGTGGCACTTGTCCTACTAAGCCCTGTGGTCCTGTTGGGAGTCCACAGCAATTCCATTGTGAGCTTCCGAGACATGACCCCGAGAAACTATGCCTTTTTAATAGAGGTGGGCCAATCTGCTCTCTTTGTAAAGAAAACTATTCCTTTACTTTTGATGCCATTGGTTGTGTCCCTAATGATAAGTGCTCATATGGATATATAGCCTTATATATATTCCTGTCCCTTTTATTTTGGGTACTACTGATATCAGTTATCCTCATTTTTGCAAAACTTGATCTCCGTTTTGGATCAGGTCAGCTCCACTGCTTCATATTCTTCTTCAGTGTCATGCAATACTTTGTTCATGGCTCTTTTCCATCATATGGGCTCTACGCTGTAGAGCTAATACTAACTGGCTTCATACAACTGGATCCTAAAATGTTTGGGCTTATAAATGTGTGTGCACCACATAGCCTTGGGCCAATTCAATATGCTGCTCTACATTATGTCAATCCTTTGTTTCTAATGGGAGCTATTGGTCTACTCATCTACATATCTAACAAGTGGCCCAAATATGCTATTTTTATTGGTGACTCGAGCTCGGTCAACATGATATGCATTGCCTTGTACCTCATCTTTTTCTCTCTCACCCAAACCTCGCTATCCATCTTAGAGCCTGTCCAGTTTTCTGGAATCTCAACCATGTATGTTTCACTAGATCCTACCCTGGAGTACTTTGATCCAGAAGGGCATCTACCATATGCTCTTGTAGCTATTGTGATACAGTTTTTCCTCGTCCTACCATTCCTATTCTTACTCATCTTTGCTCCTTACCTGATACGGATCAAGAGACTTAATCTAACACGTATTAAACCACTATTAGATGAATACCAGGCCTGCTATAAGCAGAAATATCGTAGTTTTGCCGGTTTCTACTTGACCTTTAGGCAAGTGATATTCTTTTTCAATTTATTCAATTTGGGCATCTCTGGTCATATATATGTCCTGCAGATAGTCTCTGTGCTTTTCTTAACTGTTCACTGCTTAGTGCAACCATATAGTAAGAAAAGGCTCAATATACTTGATGGTCTTTTAATGCTAGATCTGGTCTTATTGAGTATTCTTCACGGAAACACTGCTAACATTGTCTTTGATGACATCCAAGTACTCAAGACTATCATAGTGTACATATTGGTGCTTTTACCACTTGCCTATATTGTGCTTCTTTGTGTCATTCATCTCTTTTACATTTTGAAGTCAAAGCTTAAAACTAACCAAAATGGAAGGCAAAGATTGGAGGAAGAAGACACAAGAGAAAGAATTACAGCAATCACAAGGTCTACAGCAACAAGATCTTCAGTTTCAGTTACTTATGACATCAAGGATGGTGATGATGCTATCTTTGTTAACAGGTTAGAGAGAGAGCCGTTACTCTTTGCTCTGAATGATGATGAAAGTACCGGTTCTGATAATAATTATGATGCAGTTCGTAAAGAACCAGCTGTGTCGATTATTGAATTGTCTAGAACTGCTGGAGATGTTTAAATTTTAATGTGGACAAATTTATTAGACTATATGCACTTTATGTATATATGTGTGTATGTGTGTGTGGCATTTCATGTGTCTGTGTATTTGATGAGATATTTTGCTTGTTGCTATTATACTTTTTTACTTTCAGTAATCACACATTTGTGAGTTATAAGCAATTGAGCATACAATGTGAGCTTATTAGGTGAAGTCAGTCCTGTACAGTAGTATGTGTACGTCAGGGATAGGGTGTGGTGGCAAAAAATATTCATAGTTTGTTTTATGATATTCTATATATATATTCTATATATGATGTAATGCACTTTTTGCCTAAAGTCACTGAGCCTATACAGACAGTTCAGATAGGAAGATGAAAGGACCTACAAGCTATAGCTTCTACATTTTGATTCTGTCTCTGGTTCTGGCTAGCACAGTTACCAGTCATTATCATGAATGTCCTCATGACAAACTGCCAACAAAAAAGGTCAGTAGTAGTAGCTCTTTTTATCATTAAATACATTGACTATATTAATATGCAGTTTTTGATTCGTACACACTTGGAAGGCTCTACTGATAAAGCTACAAAGAATGTTGGAGGAGATGATGGTTTTAATCAACCAATTCGCATCAATATTCATTATAACTTTAGTATTTTTGGAGTGTAAGTATCATACTATTGCTTTAGCTACCAATTGTTGCTTTCCTTACAAATGTTTAACATTACTTTCAGTGGCAATTTCATGTCAGTCAACTGAGTCAAGCATCACTACTTTTAAAAATAACTTACCAGTAGCAGTAAAGTTGGAAACATCCCCTCTAAATTTATCAACAATTAAAATTTTGAAGCAATGTTTTTATTCACAATTGAATAAATTCAAAAGTGATGTTTTTGATTCAATCTTGCTTTCTAAGCTTTATCAGCTGAGCTTGTATAGGTCTAATTTATACAGTGACAGTTGCAAATTTTTGTGGGTGCTTTCGTGCGTGTTCAAGACATGCTCAATGCACAATACATCAGTTATTATTAGGAATAGTAACACTCTAAGTATAATGATAACAATAGTAAATCAGAGTGTTACTATTCCTTTTAGAATTGGCTCTTTTTAGATTAACTGAGGACAAACAAGAGCAAGTCAAGGTTTGATATTAGATTCCTTTTCTTTTACTATCAATTTGCTTGCATATCATTATTACTTGCATATATGTTATTATATGAATTTTGCTATCATATCATAACATGCAGACTATCATGGGTCAAGTAAAAGAAAATCTTGAGTCAATCCTTACAGTGAGAAGAACTCCATCCCCACTTCGATTACGAAGGTATGAGTATTAAATACATTTCTTTGATATTGATGGCACTTGTAGAGCTTGTGACGGTGACAATCCATTTATTCTAACAGGCCCAACTGAGCCATGCTTTAATCGATGCTCAAATAATTCTGCTATTTGTAGTTTTTTTCCAGTACCATCAGATCATTTACAGGTAACTATTGCATTTATTTATTTCATAGACCATGTGAACATTAAATATGAATAATATGTTACTCAAAATTCTACAAAACTGCTTGCACTTTCTGAATTAAGATAAGCTAATGAGCTCTGAATAACTATTGTTTATAATAGCGTTGTGTTGAGTGCAATGGAGATCGTAGCAATTGTGTTGAGGCTTACAGTGATGGACCTGGCCTTGAAGATACAGATCTTGCTTTGTATGTGTATGGAGTTAGCCTGTTTTGTGGTGCTAGCACTATTGCTTATGCCTCATCCTGCCAATTGGAAGATCAATATGACAGGTAATATGTTTTCTATTTTAGAATTGTATCATTTTATCCTTTGGCATACTTTATTATAATGGTCTATAATCATCTTTTATTATAGGCCTATAGCAGGAATTATTAATTTCTGCCCATCTAATATTGATGATGATGAAGAGGTTTTCCAGGTTGCAAAACATGAAATTTTTCATGTGCTTGTAAGTACCATGCACTATTGCTTATGTGTACAGAACCAAAGTGCATGTCTGCTGAAATATGAACAGAATTACCCAATAGCTTAACTGTTCTACAACTATTCATGATGCATATATGAACTATGATTAAAACAATTTTTTTCATTTATCTTTGCTAATATTATGTAGGGATTTTCAAGTAGCTTATATCCATGGTACAGAGATGAAAATGGAAACCCAAGAACACGTAGAGATGCCAATGGTAATCCACCTACTGATGCCAATGGGTTAGTTAAAAAGTATTGTAAAGGCATATCTATGATCAATATATAATAGTGATTATGTAGCAGATGAAAGTACGGTTAAAATGGTAAACTTAACTGACTGGCAGACAAGATTTGGACCAACAAACAAAACAGTTACTCAATTAGTTACTCCAAAAGTTGTGGTATGCATAGTGGCAATAGTTACGCCCTCTAATGTATTTATGCACAAAAATTAGGAGGTTGGAAGGCGTCATTTTAATTGTAATACTTTGGAGGGTGTTCAGTTAGAGGATCAAGGTGGTGGTGGCACTGCTGGATCACACTGGGAGAAAAGATTACTAAATGTAAGCACATGTTGATACCTTGTTTGTTATACAATATTTAAATATTGTGTTCAGTATGAAGCTATGACTGGTGTCATATCTCAAAATATTGCATTCTCCAACTTCAGTTATGCACTGTTAGAAGACAGTGGGTATGTTAATGATTGTATATTTATCAAGATGAACTATTGTAATCATATAGTTGGTATAAAGTTGACTACAGCAATGCAAGTATATTAGTCTGGGGACGTGGTGATGGATGTGGATATACAGCTGGTTCTTGTGGAGGATATATTGACACAAAGAAAAGACAGTATGTAATTCCAATGCTACTATTGAATTGACTATTTAAATACACAGAAATCAACCAATAGCTCCATTCTGCAATTTCTTTAATGATGAATTTAACCCTCAAAACCTATCTTGCAATATAGATAGGACAGCAGTTGCTTTTTGTAACCTTGTGGATAATTACTACTATTATTTAGATGTATCTATACCTCCAGAATATCAGGTAGAAAAATAAATTTGTATAATGATTATATATTTGTATAATTTTAGTATTTTAATTCGGGTGCAAATTTTAACAGCTCAGCATTTAGACTCCCATTTTATGGTGGAATTGTTCATACAGCAGACTTCTGTCCATTTTATTTTGATTTACCGGTAAGTATAGAAATTGCCAATAAATTTAACTTTTTATAATTAATTATAGTTTAGGCAAGCACTTGAAGGCATATGTAGGAAAGGGATCCCTTTAAGTAATATATTTAGTATAAATATACATTACGTATTTATATCATGTAATAGCTGATAGTAATGAAGCAGCAGAGACATATGGGCCTAGGTCACGTTGTGTGGATCACTCTGGAAAGTGGCAAATCACTAATGGCTCAAACACATACACTGCCCAATACAGTGCTGGATGCTATGAGGTATAGGCATAAAGACTGCTTGTAATTTTTTTACAAGTCTTGTTTATCCTTGTAATTTCTTACAAGTCTTTTTTACACCTTGTTCACACTTCAAGGTGTAAACAAGGTATTAAAAATTTACAAGCAAGAAAATTTAGAGGGCATAGTCAATAGGCTTCATCTAATCCCATGCATTCACAGAGTACAAGCGTTCCTAACACATATTCATGTACTCTAATTTTTGTGGGTTAATTTGTATGAATTTTATATGCTATTAATCGTCTTACATGTGTCTATTTTGTAGTACCAATGCTCCAATAGTGTTGTTACTATAATGATTTTTGGGCAATCATATACCTGTAGTAGAGCTGGTCAAGTGGTATGCTACTCTTTATTATATCTTATATACGTATTGAGTGCTTTATAGATACAAGTTGATCAGACTGCAGATGGTGTGAGGTATCGTGGAGGGATTGTGTGTCCATCTTGTGTTGAGATATGCTACGTAAGTACTATATATCTGTAATTATTATTTTAACTGTTAATAAATGAATTTTAGGATGATTTTGAAAATTGCCCAGAAGCTGGTAAAAAAAATGATTATCATAATGATACTTTTATTCATATTTATTATTAAGCTGAGTTATATGGAGAGTTTGCAAGTCCTGCTCCTCCTACTGACAGTGTTGGAAGTCTGCTGCCAATGGTCGGGTTGCTTTTTGTAGCCATCTTTGCCTCTTTTGCCGTCAACTATTAAACTTTATTAGTGGTCTGTGTGTGCCTGTAGTAGTAGTGGTAGTAGAGACTAGTAGTAGTTTTTAGAAACTTTTTAGAGTTTCTATTTTGCTTTTAAAAAGATGTTTTGAATATTTGACATTGAGCCAGCAAACTGATAATAATTATTATAATGCAGTTTGTAAAGAACCATGCATCTGTGTCTGTCATTAAATTGCCTATAAAAGATATGCATGTAGTCTGGGTTAGTGGGTTTGTATGCAGCCATTTTCAAACGTGACTAAAGGCTTTAATGTGAGTGCAGTATATGGTGCAGTAATCTGATTAGTGTCACCAAACTTCCCTCATTTCAGAAGGGGCTTGAACAGTTATTTTGTTGTATCGTTAACTCACGCTGCACATAACGTGTGTGTTCTGTGTGTGGTTTGTTTTGTATTTCATATTAATATACTTTGTACTCAACTATGATTATAATTTCTGATAAATCATAAATCTAATTTTATGCATGATATCAGGAACTTAAATAAATGTGAACTTTGAGGAATTGTTGATCCAGCTAGATGAAGTAATAGTAGCACTGCTACTATTACTTCATTCTGGCTAGATTGAAGGAGGGGTTCACAACAATTCCTCAAATTCCATGATGTACTAATGTACTATAGACTTTTAATGATATTCATGGTTTATTCAGCCAAACCCTCTTTACCAACTAAAGTTTACATGCACTCTATGATGTAATGAATTTTTGCCTATTTAAACCACTGAACAAGCTTCTAGACTATATCAGACAGTTTGGTGTAAAGCAAAAAAACAATTAAGATGAAGAGTACAAGCTATAACTTCTGCATCTTGATTTTGTCTCTTGCTCTGGCTAATACAGTTACCAGTCATTATCATAAATGTTCTCATGACAAATTTCCTAAAAAGGTAGTGCAACATTAATATAGAGCCCCTTTCAGTTTTGTGTTGTGTTAACAGTTTTTGATTCGAACACACTTAGAAGACTTTGCTGATTCTAAAGCTACAAAGAATGTTGGAGGAGATGCTGCTTTTAATCAACCGATTCGTATCAATATCCATTACAATTTTACTGCATTAGAAGGAGAGTAAGTCTAAATTTTATGTAGCATAATAATTGAACAAACAGCATCCACTAGGCAGCTTCATTGCTGTCTAATGTCAGTGGTTGAATGAGCAACCATGCTGCCAGAGGTAGAGAGACTATCTACTTGAAGCAATATATTGCCCATGCAACTTCATCAAAAATACTTGCAATGAAGTTGCTGAGTGGATGTCCCTTGACAATATTCAGTAATAATAAGAGTAATTAGATAGTAATAGTACTAATGTCAGGAGCCCATGAAAGAAGAAGGAGAAGGTACCCTTCTCTTCTTCTTTCATGGGCTCCTGCTAATGTTCATAGAGTACAATTATTTTAATATCATTTACCAAGTCATTAATTTTATTATCATTTAAACTTTAGACTATCATTGGCACAGCAACAGCAAGTGAAGGTTTGATAAAGTTTTACATTATTTAAATTTTTATTATCATTAATCAATTGCAGTCTGTTATGAGTCATGTCAAAGAAAATCTTGAATCGATCCTTACAGTAAGAAGGACTCCAAATCCTCTGAGATTACGAAGGTAAGACCAGTCAACATACATACAGTTCCTTATCAATCCAACTTTTAGGTATTGTCGTCATGACAAAGATGATTTTGTTCTAACTGGTCCACTTGAACCATGTCCTGATCAATGTCTAAATAAATCACTTCTTTGCAAGCAGTTTCCAATACCAGCAGAACATCTACAGGTAAATACAGCTTTGATTCAAGAGAGAAGCTGGATTATTTTACACATACATTTTAGCATGCATCTGCTGAGGATTTTATAGTGTTGTTGTTAGCATAGAGTATTTTACTGAGATTATATATGATCTGTGTTTGTGTGAATGTGCATGTAATAATATCAATAATAACTTTTGATGCATTCACAGCGTTGTGTGGAGTGCAATGGTGACAGTAGCAATTGTGTTGAGGCTTACAGTGATGGACCTGGTCTTAAAGATACAGATCTTGCTTTGTATGTGTATGGTACTGCTGATCATTGTGAACCGGGTGTTGTTGCTTATGCTGCGGCCTGCCAATTAGAAGATCAATATGACAGGTACAATTATTTTACATAGTTTGAATATGGGTCAATCATTTTTTATTTTATAGACCAATATCAGGAGTTATTAATTTCTGCCCAACTGATGATATTAGCGATGAAGAGGAAGTTTTTCAAGTTGCTAAACATGAAATTTTTCATGTTCTAGTGAGTTAATTCTGCCTATAAACATACCATAAGTGCTTGTTATCATGGCATATAGGGATTTTCAGATAACTTATATCCGTGGTACAGAGATGAAAATGGAAACCCAAGGACACGTAGGGATGCCAATGGTAATCCACCTACTGATGCAAATGGGTTAGTTAAAATAGTATTGTAATGGCTCATTTATGATCAATATATTATAGTTATTTTGTAGCAGATGAAAATACAGTTAAAATGGTGAACTTAACTGACTGGCAAACAAGATTCGGACCAATAAACAAAATAGTTATTCAATTAGTTACTCCAAAAGTTGTGGTAAGTAGTAGCCTTTACTTATACACATACATGTAGAAAGTTTGAGCTGATTTCAATCAAAATAGGATTTTAAAAAAATTTATAAAGTTACTCAAAAATTTTGTTAAAGTCTCTGTACTATATATATAGTTTCGGGACTTTGGCCAAATTTTACCAAAATTTTAAAGGAAAAAATTCTGCAATTTTATGATTTTTAAAAATACAAATACATGTATATATTTATGTTGCGTAGAAGTTTGAGCTGGTTCAGGTCAAAATTAGATTTTTACCATTTTTAAAGTTGCTCAAAAATTGGGCCAAAGTCCCTGTACTACAGCATAGGATTTTAGGCCAATTTTTGCCAAAATTGAAAAGGAGAGAATTTTACATTATTATTATTTTTTCTTATGAAATAATTATTATAAAAGCCCTCTAATGATTAAATAAACTACTATAGGAGGTTGGAAGGCGTCATTTTAATTGTGATACTTTGGAGGGTGTTCAGTTAGAGGATCAAGGTGGTAATGGCACTACTGGCGCCCACTGGGAGAAAAGATTACTAAATGTAAGCTCATACTGGTAGCCTTGCCCATTATATGCAATGAATTTTTCACAGAATGAAGCTATGACTGGTGTCGTATCACAAAATGCTGCATTCTCCAACTTTAGTTATGCACTGTTAGAAGACAGTGGGTATGTTATTGATTGTATATTTATCAAGATGAATTATTGTAATCATATAGTTGGTATAAAGTTGACTACAGCAATGCAAGTATATTAGTCTGGGGACGTGGTGATGGATGTGGATATACTGCTGGTTCCTGTGGAGGATATATTGACACAAAGAAAAGACAGTATGTAATTTCAATGCTGCTACTATTGAATTGACTATTTAAATACAACAGAAATCAACCAATGGCTCCATTCTGTGATTTCCTTAATAGTAGATTGCATCCTCAAAACCTATCTTGCAACACAGACAGGACAGCAGTTGCTTCTTGTAACCTTGCGAGTTACTACTATGATTTACCTCGAGAATATCAGGTAGAAAAATAAGCTTTAAATTGTACAATGATTATTTGTATAATTTTAGTATTTTAATTCAGGCGCAAATTTTAATAGCGTGGCATCTGGACTCCCAATTTATGGCGGAGATGTTAAAGCAGCAGACTTCTGTCCATTTTATAATGATTTGGTAAATATAGAAATTGCTGATAGATTTTAAAATTATCAATTATAGACTTATCGGGCACCTCGAGGTATATGCAGGAAAGGGATCCCCTTAAGTAATATTTATAGTATAATATTAAATATTTATATCATGCAATAGCTGATAATAATGAAGCAGCAGAGACATATGGACCTAGGTCACGTTGTGTGGATCACTCTGGAAAGTGGCAGATCACTAATGGCTCAAACACATACACTGCCCAATACAGTGCTGGATGCTATGAGGTATAGGCATAAAAATTGCTTGTAATTTTGTTACAAGTCTTTCTCACACCTTGTTCACACCTCAAGGTGTAAACAAGGTGTCAAAAAAATTACAAGTAAAAAATTTTGAGGGCATAGTCAATAGTCCCATTCACAGAATACAAGTATTCCTAATACATGATCATGTGCTGTAATTTTTTGTGGGTCTAATTTTTATGAATTTTATATCATAATTACATGCTATTAATAATTGTATTTACCATGTATACTTCATAGTACCAATGCTCCAATAGTGCTGTTACTATAATGATTCTTGGACAATCATATACCTGTAGTAGAGCTGGTCAAGTGGTAGGCTACTCTTTATTATATATGTACACATTGATTGTTTCATAGATACAAGTTGATCAAACTGCAAATGGTGTGAGGTATCGTGGAGGGATTGTGTGCCCATCTTGTGTTGAGATATGCTACGTAAGTATATTGATCTATGTTCTGTATTACTTTAACTGTTAATAATTCTAGGATGATTTCAAAAATTGCCCAGAAGCTGGTAAGAAAAATGATTATCATATACTTTTATTTATATTTATTATTAAGCTGAGTTATATGGAGAGTTTGCAAGTCCTGCTCCTCCTACTGACAGTGTTGGAAGTCTGCTGCCAATGGTTGGGTTGCTTTTTGTTGCCATCTTTGTCTCTTTTGCCTTCAACTATTAAACTTTATTAGTGGTCTGTGTGTGCCTGTAGTAGTAGTGGTGGTAGTAGAGACTAGTAATAGTTTTTAGGAACTTTTTGGAGTTTTTTGTTTTGCTTTACAAAAAAAGATGTTTTGAGACAACAAATATTTTGTTATTATCCCCATACACCATTAGTCCAGACCGTGATAGCGGTATCTGTATAAATGACAGAACAACTAGCTAGTTCAATGAAGGAAAAAACAAAAGACAATGCAACAGATGCTACATCTAATAGATTTGACAACAAAAGCCTAAGAAAAAGATATAAGATATTTTCCTTTATAACACCTACTATTAAATAATATATCAAGTTTGAGTATCAAAACAATAATTAATATCCATCACAAAAAATTTAGTTTTTAATCTTTATTTCAAAGAGGTGCTACCCCAAGTGGTATGCCACGCCTTGGTTGATAGGGAGTTGTCCTTGGTACCATAGTAATGCAATCAATAATTGGACAGACACTGACACACAGTGTACAACCAGTGCAGTCTTCTGTAATGTGGGGTAGGTGAGTGTCTTTATCAAATGTAATGGCCTAATTTAGCATATATGAATATTGTATCACATTATGTTAGACTCTCTCTCTCTTTTAGGGTTTCCCACAAGATTTTGGTATAGTTCTCAGCTTCTTGCCTGATCTATGATATTTGTCAAAAATAGCTAGGAGAGACTTTTCCATTTTGAGCTGATTCTGATTAAATTGGATTTATTATGAATTTTTAAAATTGCTCCAAAAGCCATGCACTATAGTGCAGTGATTATCAGCTCATGAAGTGTGCTGTTTAGTACTCTGCTCTCTCTTCCCTCCCTCCCTCCCACCTCTCTCTCCCTCTCTTTCTCTCTCTCTCTCCCTCTCTCTCTTTCACCTGGTATCCAGAGTCATTGCAAACCATATAACACTTCCCACAGTTGATGCACATGTCTTCATCAATGAGGGCAACAGCTTGTTGCTTTGTATCCAGGTCACCCCAAGCACCAATCATTGGTAAAACACGACCTATAACATCCTAAAAATTAAAAAATTAACAACTACTACAGCTATAATAAATGCATCATTTTCAACTTTTAAGTACGTGTATGTGTATATTCTATGTTACTAAAATTAGAATTAAATTGTTCTATTTTTAGATAAACCTGGTCTTACTTTAACAGCTGGTACAGGCTTGCTTGGCTTATAGGAAGGTCTGTGAGTTTCAGGGCTGAACTCAGTGAGTGGAGTAATTGATTTCTTGTAGTCGGAAATCAACTGGTCCTTCTCTTTAAGATATGGGCCAAACTCTGGTAAACTCTATCATTAAAAATATTATGCATAAAAAATTTATATCTTAATAAGTTATGCTCCTGTTATTAATTAATTAATTAATAATAATAAAAGGCAAAAGGCATATTTTAAATGGAAAATTATTTATGTACTTTTCCAATAATTTCTGTTATTTTTGGTGTAATGACTTTCCCTTTTTGATGCTTTGCGGTTGGCGGGCACTGACCATCCCAATCACCTAATTCGCTGACAGACTAAAATTAGAATAAGAATAAAGAATATGATGAGGGAATTATAGGCATTACTTGAAGGTAGAGTAAGGCCTTTAGTCCAGTAACATAATCATCTATCAGTGTGTACTCTTGATTGTGGATAGCACTACAAACCTGGAGAGAGAGAGAGAGAGAAAGAGAGGGAGGGAGGGAGGGAGAGTTTTAAAATGTTATATTTAAATCTCATTGCTCCAGTTACTTGTAATAAAGTAGCTCCACAGTGCAAGAACTGAAGCCCGGCCTCAGCAGAGTCAATACCTCCAGCTGCTAGTATAGGGAATCCTGGTAGGGCCCTGGCTATGGCCGACACGTCTCTAAGAGCAATCGGTCGAATGGCGTTACCGGAAACGCCACCGTATGTTGTCCTGTTTTCGTTACCGACTGCCGGCCATGGGATACCATTAGCTTTCACACCCATTAGACCTGATACTGTATTGATAGCTGTTACACCTGTGGCTCCACCTACAAGACACGCCCACAATTATAATTACCATTTTAATTGTGTGTACTCTATTATTTGACGACACTATTAAACTCATTATGTCACTTTTAATTTTGGTTTTATCCATTGATAAACTTAATAAAATTACACAATTAAACGTACATGTAGGTATAATATAAATTCTATTTTTATTTCCATTGTAATCACCTTCCTGAGAAGCTCTTGCAATGTCAACAATATCTGTCACATTTGGCGTCATTTTTGCAAAGAATGGGATTTTCACTGCTTCACGAACCCAGCAACAAATTTCAACGACAAGTTCCGGGTCTTGGCCACAAGCTAGTCCCATTCCCCTCTCTCCCATACCGTGAGGGCACGATAGATTCAATTCAAGAGCATCAGCACCAGCTTCCTAAAAAATTGGAGGAAGAAAATTTTAGTACAAAAAATTTGTAATAAGGCTATAGCCCATGGTTTTTTCTGAAAAATGGCCCCAAAATCACCTTAAATTTTTATTACACTTTTTGATGTATATTGATGTCCTTATGCTATGTAGCAAGTTTGAGCTGATTCCGACAAAATTTTTTCGAGTTACGGTCATTTTAAGAAAACTCCGAAATTCTGAAAAATACCCAAGGCTATAGCCTATGGTTTTTTCTAAAAAATGGCTCCAAAATCAACTCAAATTTTTATTACATTTTCTGATGCATATTGATGTAATTATGCTATGTAGCAAGTTTGAGCTGATTCCGACAAAATTTTTTGGAGTTACGGTCATTTTAAGAAAACTCCGAAATTCTGAAAAATACCCAAGGCTATATATAGCCCATGGTTTTTTTCTAAAAAATGGCTCCAAAATCACCTCAAATTTTTATTACATTTTCTGATGCATATTGATGTAATTATGCTATGTAGCAAGTTTGAGCTGATTCCGACAAATATTTTTTGAGTTACGGTCATTTTAAGAAAACTCCAAAATTCTGAAAAATACCCAAGGCTATAGCCTATGGTTTTTTCTAAAAAATGGCTCCGAAATCACCTCAAATTTTTATTACATTTTCTGATGCATATTGATGTAATTATGCTATGTAGAAAGTTAAAGCTGTTTTCGACAAATATTTTTCAAGTTATTAGCATTTTAAAAAATGAACCAAATTTGAAAAATACCTAAGGCTATATAACTTAAATTTTCTAAAAATGGCTCCAAAATCACCTTAAATTTTCATTACATTTTCTGGTACATGTACATTATTGATACTGACCTCACTAGCTTTGCATAAAATGGTCCAGTCCTCTTTAGAAAAACCGCACATAACACTAGCAATAACAATCTAAAAATAGAACAAAAGTGTTACTAAAAATAGAAACAAAGTCCCATACCTTATTAGGAAAGTCTCTCTTCAATTCCCTGATGGATTGGAGCCAGTATGCACAGGTCTTTTCACTCACCAGTTCTATGTTGAGATATGCATTCTGTCCAGGACCAAACAAATGGCCGCTAGTGGTACCACGGACAATACGGGGAGACACATTAGTTATAATATCCTAATAATATACCAATAATATACTAATAGTATTCTCAAATCAATATATACATACATGTATTTCAAAAATCATTCTGATACTGATCATATCTTCATGTACATGTACATGCAACAAAAATACTAAAAAACTAACAAATATTCTTAAAAGCCACACTCTGATAATATACTGATAATATACTGATAGTATACTGACCTTATCAAGTGTGTAAGTTTTTGTGACAGCAAATGCCCAGCCAGCCTCAAAGGCTCGACGTATCATGGCACTAGAAGTGGTGGGAGTGGCAGACGCCAAACCGAAAGGGTTTTCAAACTTGAGGCCAGCAAATTCAATTGATACATCAACGGAATCAATAGGAGTGAAGAACTGAGGGAGACTTGGCTCAGGCGGAATATAAAGACCATGGAGAGACTAAAAAAAATTATATCATAATATAGCAAGTAATTTTGAAAGGATAAATTTGGGCAGATTTGGCATTTTGATAGCCATTTGTCTAATTAAAATCAGACATTTTGTACCCTGTCAATCACCAAAATTTTAGCAACTTGCTAAAACTTTTCCCCTCCAAAATTACCTGCTATATGGTACTAAATAAAAATACAGTACATTATGTACTCTTGATATTAATAATATAATAATTTAACAAAAATAATAAGAAAAAAGATTTACATGTACTGCATGTGTATATAAATCAAATACATTGTAATTATAAAATACCTGTAGATAGCAGTGCATATGCCAGGAGGCTTGTTTCCCATCATTAACTGCTTCAACAGTAGTAGCAGCAAGACCAGCAAGATCACCGCCACACCAGACATTAGAGAGACTGGTCTGCATTGTGTCGTTATTGACCTCAGGGAGGGACCACTGGTTGAACTTTATGGGAGACATTGCCTTTATAACTAAAAGAAAAAAAGTGAGAAAAAGATTGCAGTACATTTGGATTAGTATTTAAGTATATGTTTGCAAACATACACTGTACAATGTACATGTATATTAGCACGTTTGATTAGCATGTTTGAGAGAGATCAAGTATAAGTTTTTACATGTACATGTACATGTACATACCATCAGTTTCTGATAGCTCAGAACCAAAAGCGGAAATGACATAATCGACTTTTAATTTCACCACTTGTTCTTCGTCAATGATCCATTCACCAGAATCAGTCTGTGGAGAAAAAATTGAAAAAGCAATTCAATAAATTATATAATTTTCTCACCTGTTCCGTACGACAAAACTCCATAGCAACAATCTTCCCATTCTTCTGTATAACCTGTTAAATATTTGTTGATTTTTAATAATATTAAATTAATGAAGCCAGGGTTTCATGTACTTGTTTCGGAGACAAAAATGGTAGAAATTCACATTTCTCCTCTTTAGCTAATTCAACCTGCAAACGGAATCAAATAACTCCTCCCTCCTTCCCTCTCTCTGCTTACTTCTTCAGGAACTGCCCTCATGTTCGTAAATCCTTTCCTAAATACCACAAAAACTCTCCTCGCTCCACACCTCAGTGCCGACGTGGCGCAATCAAAGGCAGTGTCACCAGCCCCCAGAACAATCACGTTCCCGTTGAGACGAGGGAGGGAGCTAGAGGAACAAGAACACATCCCTAGAAGCATAAAATGTCAAAATTAAAAATAGATATTAATTATTATTATTATTAATTGAAAATCAATTATAATTAATTAAAAAAATTATTTATAAAAGTGTAATTATACATGTACGTGTATGCACTTTAACTTTAATTATATGAACTTTATATGTGCTTTGTACACAGTGTTCTACATGTACATGTATATGTACTTTATATGTACATGTACATGTACATGTAGGTTTCTCTTACCTGGTTTGCTGGTACTACAAACAAGAGGTAGGAAATCCTTTGAAGTATAGAATCCATTAGCTGACGTGAGACTTTTAAAAACTGGAGCAACTTTAGGATTTGGGAGACCTACATAGAAAAAACAAAGAGGGTATGTAATGTATATACATGCAGTTGGTGATTCTGTACAATAAATTTCTTTAAACTTAAATTGGAAAAAAATTAAATTGTATTACAATTTAAATTTTATGTATACTTCCTAACCTATTCCAATAAATATTGCCTCATAGCCCTCCTTTAGTAAACCTTCAACCGTCAAATCACCAGCTGACAATGATCGGCCCAATTCAATCTATCAATGAATGAACATTATACTACATGTACATGTAATTTGAATGGACACTATACTACATTTATAATACAATTACAATTACATGTACATGTACATGTCAATAATCGGTACAGCTAGGGCAAGCAGCTGTTTTTATACAATGATCTCAAGTTTTCTCATTTCTCTTTGCACGTACTTTAACTCCAAGATCTTTCATGAGTTCAACTTCAAATGAGACGACATCATACGGCAAACGATACTGAGGAATCTCAGAAGAACTGAAAAAAAAATTTAAAACAAATGTCATATTTTTCAATCTCCTCTTTCTTATTTACCTTAGTCCTCCAATGTATTTCTCTTTCTCAAATATTGTTAGGTCGCTGTAGCCAAGACGAGCAAGGAACGTGGCACAGCTGATGGAGGCTGGACCACACCCAATCAATGCAACCTGTACAAGAAAAATAATATTTATTTTAGGAGCTTGTAACTCATGAATTTCTTAATGGAAACAGCTCAAACTTTCTATATAGCATAAGGACATCAATATGCATGAGAAAATGTAATAAAAATTTGGGATGATTTCGGAGCCATTTTTTGGAAAAAACCATGGGTATAGCCTTGGGTATTTTCAGAATTTCGGCGTTTTCTTAAAATGGCCATAACTCAAAAAATATTTGTCGGAATCAACTCAAACTTGCTACATAGCATTAAGGACATCAATATGTATCAGAAAATGTAATAAAAATTTGGGATGATTTCGGAGCCATTTTTTGGAAAAAACCATGGGCTATAGCCTTGGGTATTTTCAGAATTTCGGCGTTTTCTTAAAATGGCCGTGACTCAAAAATATTTGTCGGAATCAACTCAAACTTGCTACATAGCATAAGAACATCAATACGTATTAGAAAATGTAATAAAAATTTGGGGTGATTTTGGAGCCATTTTTTTGAAAAAAACATGGGCTATAGCCTTGGGTATTTTTCAGAATTTTGGCATTTTCTTAAAATGGCCGTAACTCAAAAAATATTTGTCGGAATCAACTCAAACTTGCTACATAGCATAAGGACATCAATATGTATTAGAAAATGTAATAAAAAATTGGGATGATTTTGGAGCCATTTTTTTGAAAAAACCATGGGCTATGGTTTAAAAAATTAACTTGTTTTAAAAAGGCTCTAACTCAAACAATTGGAGGTAGAATCAGCTGAAACTTTCTACACAGCATAAGGACATGTATGTAAGGACGTCAATATGTATAATCATAGTTATACATGTATTTAATATATTTACTTTTGATTTATAACTCTCGGGCAATGAATCAACAGCTGGTAAGGAAGGATCCCTTATCTGTGGCACCCTCATCTTCTTAAAAACCTAAAGAAAATTGTAATAATAAATAAATAAATAAATAATAATAAATATATGATTGTAATCATAATAACAGTAACTCTAACTTCAGTTGCAAACTGCTGTAGTCCTCCAATATTAATAGGACCCTCTTCAGATGCATAAAGGTTACAACCGCCCACACAAAGGTCACTGGTTGGACACACCATACCACAGGTAAGACCGAGAGGATTATCCGAAAAGATAGACCTTGAAGCACCATAATAATTCTAAATATTAAAATATATTCAGTATGCATGTACAATAATAGAATATGATTCCACATTGTGGCAAGGTTCCATATTAAAAATATATATGTGTATGTACATGTACATATATGCACATGTACATGTACAATAATAAAATAATGATTATCATTCATTTCTACAGTTACTGTCTCCCCTACTTGGTCTTTTTCTCTTGTCCCTTACTTTATTGCTAATGCTGGTGATGAATCCTTTAATGTCCAGTTGAGTAGGGCAGCTCTTTTGACAGGGGGCATCAGCACATTTGAGGCATCGGGCAGCTTCACGTAATGCTGCTCTCTCACTCAATGTGGTGTGCTTTATGTCATCAAAATTATTCTCTTTGCTAGCACAAGACTAATGGAGAGGAGAGAGAGAGGGGGAGAGAGAGAGAGAGAGAGAGAGGGGGGGGAGGAAAGAGAGAGAGAGAGGACAATGAAGGCTTTGATTAGCTTATCAGTTGCAGTCCGGCCTACTCAGGCCACCTTTACAATAACCATTGACACCTGTTTTGATTATAAAGCAATGATCTAATGAATACATCAGTTTTTATACATCCCACGACCAATTATTGAGCCTATACACCCACGAAAATAATTAGCATATGACATGATTTATTATTAGTTAATTACTTTTTAAAGCATGCAGCTCTACTTACAGAACAAGACTTGTCTTGGTTTCTTTTCCAGTGCTTGCGTGCTTTCCTAGTCGTCTCTGTGGATACGGTGCTTGCAAAGCGAGGGACTTTAGGATTAAGACTCAAAAGTGCCTGAAAAAAAAAACAGCCAGCCCAACATGATTTCAAATGTAGCATTGGGCATACTTCTATGTCAGGAGGATCTCTTGAAACATTGTCAAAAGACATGTTTGTTTATTTTAGAGTTCAGACTATTTTCACAAAGCACGAGCGCTTCTCACAGACGCGCCTTGTAATTTTTGACGAGGTAATCACGTGACTTCAATTTTGCTGCAAATCCCAAAAGGGTGTGGCTCATTGTTTGCACCAAACAAGAAGCAATCTCCTTGTAATTTTAAATCCCTTGTCTCCAGCAAAGCAGCCTCGCTCATCTCTCAAACAGGCCATGTCTCGTGGCATCTTTGCTTATCTCACTAGGAGTGGTAATCCAAAGAAAAAGGACGAGCAGCAGAAGAAGAAAAAGAGGCGATGGCTCTTCAGAAGAGCAGAGAGCTCTTCAAGCTTAACTGACGACAGAGACAATGGATTCTATGGGAATTCGGGGCCTTCCTTTGCCGGAGTTTCACCCTACGGTGATATTTCACCGAATCAATTCTTCAGTAAGACTGGTCTGCAGAAAGATGGTGAAATTATTGAAAAGCATCACAGAAGAGGAGGAGGAGCAGCAGCAGCAGAAAGAAAAGCAAAGGAACCTGAAGTTGACTTGTCACTGGATGATTTTGATCTCCCTCAGGCAAATGTTCTCCGTCGACCATCTTTATATGAGGTTTTTGAGAATAATGGTTCAAAGAAAGAGCCTGCAAAAACCCTTGGTCCTAATATAATGCTTGATGAAAATGAAAGGAATGAGAAAAATGAAGACAATTCTGAAGAAGATGACGATGAAGAAGAAGAAATTACTAGTCCCTATGAGAAGGACTCATTTCACCAGCGTATGGACTCTAAAGCAAGCTGCAGTAGCTCTGATAACAGAATGAAAGCAGTCGTCTCTCCTCAAACAAGTGATGGTGACGTGTACAGTAGAAGGAAAGACAGGAAGAGTGTAAGATCACTCACTGAGGAATCAATAGGTGAGTATAACTTGATATAAGAGCAATGAAATGCATGCAATTGCACACTGCAGCAAACATGTCATGGCTCAGCTAGCTACATCTACAAACCAGATAATTAAATTTTATGATTATTTTTTTCTTTTTTTATGCAGCTGTATACTCTGAAGCACAAGCTGACAGCAGAGTAAAGAAACACGGGAGGGAAAAGCTGCGAAACATGCCACCACACCCGCCATATTTCCCCTTCCATCCAATGCCCATTCCACCTCATCTCTACAATGGAAAGGATCGGGATAATTCCTTTCCACCTCCATTCCTCCCTCCTCCTCCACTTGGCTATAGATATCCGCCGCCTCATCCCCACATGATGTTCTACCCTCACCCTCTCCCACCTCCTCCTTCTCATCCTTCACAGCATCACCCTCACCCTCACTATCCTCACGGTGTTCCATTTCCTCCTCCTGGATACCCTCCTTTCTTTCCACCTCTACAAGAGGAGGAGAGGGAGCTGGTTGAGGGTGAGAAGAGGAAGCAGAGAAAGAAGCAGAAGCAAAAACGTCAGAATAAGCCAAAGGAAGTAGATGAATCTTTGCATAACGAGGAGCCAAAAGCAGAAGATCCTTTTGCAAACTTAGATGACATACCTCAAGGCCTTAACAATTTTTTATATTGATTAAGTTATTTTAGCTGTAATGTACCAACTTGTATTATTTAATTTAAAACATCTTTCCTCAAGACTACAGCCTGTGCAATAAATAAAATCAAAAATAAAGCCAGCAATGAATGTATATAGCCCTACCTTCATTACCCATGTGACAAAACATAGGAAATAATAATAAAATACTAAATTCATTTCATATCAATAAAAATCATTAAAATACTAAAAGTATGCTAAACATATATCAAAAATTATTCTAACAGCACTGACAACACCATAGCTGTACTATAATAGTTTACTATATCTACTATACTTATTGTGGGCAGCAAATACTTTTAAGTATGCGTAAACCAATAAAAGTAATGATTGGTGTCCCACATAATGAGATCGAGGCAATGAATAAAATAGACCATGAGAGATATTCAAGTTTATAGCTGACGTAAACCATATCCTTTGAACCATAAGACGATGCATTATATTCACCTTGAGCTTGTGCCAGGAAGCATGAGTCATGTGTAATGAGTCCAATATTACTGGAACAAGACTCATTGTTCTTAACTTTGCAATTTGGTAGCAACTTGCTTACATTAAAATATGTCCTTATTTCATTTTTCGTGACCAAGAATGGTTCTGTTCCACCTTTAAGGTCAGCAATAACAAAGAAATAATATGATGCTTCCTTTCTCATTCGAGCTGAAGTGAAATCAAACTCCCAATAGCTTTTATCAGTTGGCACATCCCTCGTATAAAGAGCTCCTTCAAGGCTTCTTTCCCCAGATAAATAGCTTTTATACTTCACTACATCATCAAAAACTATGATTTTAAGTTCCTCTTTTCGATTTATAGATGTAAAATTGAATGCATAGAACATCAAAGCAGCTTTACTTTTTGAGCAATACCAATATTCATCCAGAACACACTTATTGATGTAGATTCCACATGCATTGAATGCTACTTTTAAGGATTGGCGTTCAATTTGTGATTCATACAGTTTATGGACCTCGTAGCATGAAACTTGGTAAATATAAGTAATCATGTTTGGCTGAATATAATCACTTGTGAAATTTGTATTGTTGAAAGTTATCATAGATGAATATAGACCACTGGAATTTGCTTCAAGAAGAACATAATCATTTCTGACAACTAAATCCTTATTGTGACCATATTTGGCTCCTATCATGACAAGATCAGTCACTAACAATGGTAAAGCAGTCATCATGATGAATAATGCAATAATCAAAACAGCTTGTTTTACTCTGAAAGGACAGCACATTTTTTTGCAGCATTGTTGGAGTGCTGTTACGAGCCTCTTTCCTTTACTAGCCTGACTATCTCCTTCAATAGCATGACTAGCCTGACTATCTCTTTCATCCAGCTCCTCATTTTGTTCCTGGATATTACCTTTAGACCTGGTACTCTGTGGCAGAAGATGCGCTTTCTCTGAATTCACTACGTCCTTGTAACAGCCTGAACCTATATGACATTACATACATATATATAAGTCAAATGCCTGAGTTTTTGATACTAGACTGAGCTATGCTCTAAAGTTGGGCATCCAGTATGCAGCATTTATGCTTGCAACTTGTGGTTAAATCTTTGATGTGGTTGGGCAACATGTTGCATGAAGTAGAGAGACTCTCAACTTCATGCAACATGTTGCACAACCACATCAAAGGTACTAGCAAAAAATTGCCTAGTGGATGTTCACCTTTAAGCTACATACCATTTTCACTTGGTAAAGAAAGGGTGGTATGTCGATCATTAGATCTAGGTTCGCTCTTATAAACCAAGGTGCTATCTTTTGCTCCATGCTCTTGCCTTTGCTCTTGCTCAGGTTCGGGGTAGTCCATTATCTCGTCCATTATATTCGCCTCAAACCATAGATTACGTAGTCTATAATATCTATGCTCAAATTGCAAACTCAAGCTAAAGGGGCGTAAAAATGCACGCGCGCGCGCGCCATGCATCAGCCCCACCCTTGTACACGTGATAAAACGTGTTAGTGTGGGCCATAATTTTGGACTATAATTTTGCCTCCTGGTAAGTGGTAATTATTTTATTTTGTTCAAATGATTGATGTTTCAATGCTAGGTTCTAAAATCTATTGTTTAATAGGCTTTGACAATTAACGATGAATAGAAAGAATATTACAGTGAAACTAGATAGTTTGAAAGAATATTTTGGTTGAAAAGATGTAGATCTATATGTGAGTCAAAGTTAATACAGAGTGTGTATCTAAATGAAAATGCAATATAATATACTTCAGCCATAGTATTTTTTTTTAATAATTGCCTCAGAAGTATATTGATCCTTATGAGATTACGAGTTTTAAAGCTAAAAGCTACATAGTCTAATTTCTGGTTTGTGGTTTTGGTTAACTTCAGATGCTCATAATTAAAAGTTGTTTGGAATTACTCAAACTTTCTGTGGTGTAGTGATATCATACCAGAATGGTCCAGAAGTGAATTTATTAGGTACCTTAAGCTTACTATTTTTAGCGTCTACTAAATTTAGCTATATTAGCGAGAGAGCTTTAAACTGCTAAATTAAATAGACGCCAAAATAATTATTATTTATTATAATGGTTATTATTTATAGTTAATTTGGTTAAAAACACTAAAATTAGTAACGCTAAACAAGACTTTTGCTGAATTCGCTAAAATTAGTAGATGCAAATAATAGTAGGCTTAAGGTATTTTATTTATTGTGGCTATACCCACTTTAGAATAAGACACCTTGTCATAATTTGCTACTTGTTAAATATGGTCACGGTATGGGTAAAAACAATCTCAAGAGTCAAGATACACTGAAGTATAATCACAGCTCACATTTTTTGTGTCTACTGAAGTGCAAAATCCATAAATACTAACTGAGAATTTTATAAATGGTTTCAACTAGAAAAGAAAGCACCTAAGTGACGAATACTCACGTGACAAAATGTGTGGCTTGAGACTCCACCTCTAAAATAATTATCTATGTAATAAAACATGGTAGTTTATTATTAGGTCATTTAGGTGTGACCATAGTTCCTATTATTTCTTGGTAATTATTTTAATTTTTCCAAATGATTAATGGATCAATGCTATAATTAGGTCAAAAATGTGTTCTAAAATTTATCTGTTGGAGGAGATTTTGGTTAAAAGATGTATATGTAAGTAATACAAATTGTATGTATTGATCTTATCTACATAGTTATAAATTGAAAACAAGCCTACAATATTGTTTTTAAAATTTCCACCAGCCAACAAATATAATGGCCTCCATAATTGGTTTATGGAACTTCAGATGGTTTCACGTAGCCAGACTCTCCACCCATTTGAGATAAGAAAGTTATTTGGATCACTCAAACAATGTCAAGGTACATTGAACTCTGATAACAGCCCACCCCACATACTTTGTGTCTACTGAAGTGTAGAATCCATAAACACTACTGATGATTTGAAATTTCTCCAGCTCATAGTACTGATTTTAAAAAATCTCGTTCAAGATATATAATTACTGATTTTAAAAAATTTCCTTCAAGATATAATATTATAATGATGCCTTGATTACAAGTTTAAAAGCTAAAACTAAGCCAAATACCATGGTCTGTATATTTGGTCTATGGCCTTTGGCCCACATACATGTAATTAAAAACTTGTTTTGGAATTACTCAAACTTTTTGTGTGGTGTACAAAGCAAAAATGATATACACTATTTTATTTATTTTGCAGCCTTTGGTATATTATGCACCACATGGTGATGGTTCAAACAATCTGAAGGTACACCATAAATTATAACCAAACAGTAGCCCACACCCAGCTGGTGTGTCAACTAAAGCAAAATCCATAAACACTACTGATGATTTTATAAATGGTTTCAACTAGAAAAGAAAGCACATAAGATTTGTTTATTTCAACTTGTAGTAACATAGGAGGCCAGGAATGAGTCTTGCTGTCGCTGCTCTACTTTTTCTTGTGTCTTTCTCTGCTTCTGAAAGCAAATACCAGTTCAGGAATCATCCAGAAACAGTCCTCTATTCAAATAATGGTACCAGAGTGAGTGGCATCCAAGACCACTTTCAAAAGGACATAGTCCTAGGAGGACTCTTTACAGTATACTATGACCTTGGAGGTACTGGGGAAGGTAGCTGTGGCAATGTTATATTTGAGGCTGGTATTGAAATGCTTGAAGCAATGCTTCATGCAATCGACAGCATCAACTCTGATCAAAATCTCTTGCCAAATATGACACTGGGTTATGATATTAGGGACACATGTAAGCGGGAGAATATAGCACTAGATGAAACTATAGATATGCTGTTCTCAAGCACAGATATACAGCTTGACAGTGCTAGCTGTCAAAATTCTAACATGACGCTACAGTCTCCAGTGTCAGTAATTGTTGGGGCTTACGAAAGTTTCCTTAGCATTCCTGTAGCAAGTTTATTACGTCTCTTCAAGAAACCTCAAATTTCATATGGGTCTTCATCAACTGCTCTAAGCAATCGTGAATTCTACAGTTATTTCTACCGGACTTTCCCACCTGATGATCAACAAGCGCAAGCTATGATAGACCTGATCCTACACTTTGGCTGGGACCACATCTCAACCATAAATTCCAATAATTTGTATGGTCAGAGAGGAATTGAGGAAGTGAAGAAGCATGCTGCAGCTAATGGTATCTGCATTGACTTTGATGGTTTTATCACTAACGAGTTTAAAATACCTGACTACATTGCTCTTGCTCGAAGGCTCCTCAACTCTTCATCAGATGTAGTCATCCTTTTTGCTTCCCTTCATGAAGCAGAGACTTTCCTTAAGGAACTAAGCAAACTTCATTCCTCTCTTAAAAGTAATCGACATTTTCTGTGGATCGCAAGTGATGCATGGGCTGAATTAACAGATGAAGATTTTAATAACATAACTAGTGGGAAGTTTGCATTTCCAGTTTATTCTAAAATCTATGGCTCATTTAATAGCTATTTCTCTCAGCTAAGTCCCTCAGTAAACCTACGTGACCCATGGTTTTCACGCTATTATGAACAATATTGCAAAGAAAATAATTGCATTCACAATAGTAGTATCACAGATACGCCTGGCTTTCGACAGTTCTCAGTAGTCCCTCTTGTTACTGATGCTGTATATGCTGCTGCTCATGCTATTAACAATTTCATACAAGACAATTGCCCTCACCCATTGCACTGGCAGCCACACAATCAGAGCTGCATCGGATACAACAAGTCACTGGACAGCGAGACACTAAGGCAGTACATTAACAGAGTGAACTTTACCAGCCCAACTGGGAATAGGGTGGCTTTTGATGAGTTTGGCAATGTGCAGGCAAAATACACCATACTGAACTATCAGCTGGTAACTTCATTATCCTGCCAGAGCTTAAAATGCTCTCAAGATTTTGAGTTAAGGGAAGTGGGTGTATGGGATGGTAGTGCTTTAGGGGATAGGCTTGAGATTTTTTCAAATTTTACTAAACAGTTTGGTATTAATCAAACTACAGGAGATGTGCTGTTTTCACTTAATTCATACTGCCAGAGTTGTAGTCTTGGGTATTTTAAGAGGGTAGTAACGTCATCATGTTGTGGTACGTGTGATCCTTGCCTTGGATCAAACTATACTAACACTAACTCTTCAACAATGTGTATGACATGTCCTGATAATATGTGGGGCAACAATCCTCTCACTGGTAATACTCATTGTATAGATATTGATGAATCATATTTAAAACCATCAGATGCATGGGGTATAGTACTGATAATACTAGCCATCATTGGATTAATAGCTGTAGTATCTGTCACATCTGTTTTCATCTGGTTCTGGAATACACCAATCGTCAAGTCTTCAGGAAGGGAGCAAATGATGCTAGTACTAATTGGAATAACTCTTTGTTTACTCTCAGCTTTACTGTTCCTTATAAAACCATCACCAACAGTCTGCGGTCTTCAAAGGATAAGCCTGTGGTTCTCTTCATCTCTCATATTAAGTGCATTACTTGTCAAATTAATCCGAATAACTCGCATATTCATGCAAAGAAAAGTAACAACTAGACCGATGTTCATAGCTCCAGCTTATCAGATTCTTTTTACATTTATACTCGTTGGCTTCCAAATGCTACTAGTCATCATCTCACTTTCGGTAGCTCCTCCTAATATCAAGCAGACAAAGCAATACAATTCAGAGAACTATAACGACTACCCAACACTTACACTTCAATGTACTCTGCCCCACACAGCAACGATAGTCCTCCAAATGCTCTATTACTCTATCCTTCTCATTACTAGCAATGTACTAGCTGTTTTCACTATAAGATTTCCTGCTAATTTTAACGAATCGAAATACGTTTCATTTGCCACCTTTTCCCTGACCTTCCTTTGGCTGGTTTTCATACCATCCTACATAATCACTGCTAACACAGCCACTCAAGGCTACGTTATGTCTTTCATGATTCAGATGAGTTCTATCGTCACACTTCTTTGCTTGTTTGGTCCGAGGAGTTTCATTATGATTTTTTTGCCTAAGATGAATGTCAACAAACTTCAACCGACCCCGAATATCAAAGGATTTGATAAAGGTATTGCATTGAAGGCAAATATTGACTCACCAGCTAATACCGTTACTAAAGGGACCATTTTGGACTCACAAAAGGAATAAACATTGACATGATCACTGCTTGCTTTTGTTGGTGAAACTAAATTTTTGTTTCTGTAAGTGTGTTTTTTTTATTGTAGTACTTTAGCTTCAGTTTTTGTACGCGTACATTCTGAGTGTAATGCAGATGGTAGTGTTGTTTGTTTAACCTTTGACATTTTATTTCCTTATTCGTATTATTTTGTCCCAACAATATTCTTTTAACAAAATTTTGATGTAATATATGTAAAACTTTCTCCTAGTCATTTTCCATGACATACTATGTCTTGAGCTGATTCAAATTAAAACTGCTTTTAAACTGTTATGCTATACTAAATAGATGGAGCTGAAACTGACCAGTATTACATGTAAAGTTGAGGGCAAAACATCATATATTACTCCACTACTGGCTGCCCTAGGCATGTTCTATTAAGGCTTCCTCTATTCCAAGATGACATCAGACGTGAAGCTGTAGCAATTTCGAGTTTATGTCAACAAACAAAAGTATAAACTAATAATCATAAGTCATGACAGGAAATAAATACAGCAGTCATCACAAAGTCTCTTGCATATGCTTATTCTTTGCTATACATCATGCTGCTTATAACTACCTGGAGGTAATTTATCGACAAACTATTTGAGCACTTACAATTGAAAATGAAATCTAATTACTCAACTGTGCCTGCAATAGCATTGCCTCAGTCATTATACCTTATATGTTTATCATGAAAGTGTGGACATGCTATTAAAAACCGTCAAAAGTTGTCATACAAGTATAAAGGCATGTTTACATTACTTTCGTAGTACAGATGCAGATAGTCTTTCGTTTATTGGGAAAGTAAATATTATTATCAAAACCTATTCTTAATATATTGTCAGCAATAATGTACACAAGTCGTAATACAATCACACAATATTCAAAAGAGAATTAAGGAATTAATGCACAAAAATTATAATGAAATTTACATCCGTAAAAAGTGTGATATTTAAGACACACGTATGTTAATGTGTAATATTTGTAATATTTTAAAATTAAATTCAGTTTTGTAAGTCACACTCACATATAGTCTTCCTGGCTTAGTTTCTCCTTATTGTCGCTGTTTCTCTGCAGTCCTGGAATGGCCATGCTGTTTTTCGGCGTTGATAAAGCCTTAGGAGTGACTCCACCCGTAACCGAGAGAGTCTTTACATTTCTACTAGGAAAGAATATCATCAAAAAGACTCGAGGACCAAAGAGACAGATAAGGACGGCGAGGGCACTCATTTGTACTGTGAAGGCTATGACAGCTGTTTGGTTGATAACGTCTGATGCAAAGTAGCCTGATATAAAGCCAAGCCACATCACGCTG